TTAACACTAGGTTTACGGGACTCGTCATTTTGACGCATTTCGAATTTTATAAGGAAAATTACAAAACCCGTTTGCATTTTTATTTTATCTCTTGTAATGACTTTTATCCATTGATCGAAGTAAATATATATTAAAGTCTATTTTCTTCAAAAGCGTTGAAATATTGAAATTCTCTTTGTGGTATACGTATCTCTACGGATATGCGTCCATTTGAAGCAATCGTAATTTAGACAAAATTTTGAGTAAACATGCAAACATCACATCAATAATAAAAACGAATGTACCGACACTACTTCGATCCGTTATCCGATATCGTTATCTCAAATGAAGCAAGCGATAAACAACTGTTGCCGATAAGCAATAATAGAAAAAACAAAAGCAGAATGTCAATTGATGTCAGATTTTGAAGGTTTCAGTTGCTTAGCTCGAGTATTAATAAATAAAATACTAGAATATTTCATAAATATATATCTGATATTTTCATTTTTTTCTTATACAACATTGCTTTTTAAGTGCAGAGATGCCAACTGCTCCGGGCACTCCAAAAGGATTAAAAAAAAACAGTAAATAATTGCTAAGTAAATTTTGCAAACATAAAGTGATGAATTATCTAAGCCTACAAATTATTTAGAAATAATGGTGAATAATAATCTACTAAATTGAATTTATTAAACCAAGAATCCCAATTGATAAACTACCACTTTAAAATACACGGTGATTCATAAATGATGGGCAAAATTTTAGGAAGTGATAGTACACACCCAAGCAAACAATTTTTATCAAAGAATGCATGGTCGAAAACAAAACCCAAAACCGTTAGAGGGAGTAAAAAGTTATGTTCTTATCTGATGCAAAAACATACAAAGAACGATGCAGTTAAGTTATAAAAGCAAATTTAATGGCATGCAATTACAATAAGCGTTCAAAGCAGTGGCTGGCAGCGGCTAAGCACGCAGTACAACGGCGAAGAAAAGATTGGCGAACATTCTGAAACACTCCAGGCATATCGCGAACTTCCCCTGCAGCGGCCGAAAGCTTGGAGACAAGTTCCTTCTGCAGATTCAGTGGAAGTCTTATACTTAAGAGCCTTCAGCTGCCCCCACAGAAAGAAATCGAGACATGAAAGATCTGGTGAGCGCGGTGGCCAAGCTAAAGCGGTGGCCAAGCTTCCCATAACATGCAAATAATAACTCACAGCGCGGTAATTCGCAACAGAAATGGAGCTTTCTCGTTTGCATGAAACAACTTTCAAAATGCGCCAGCTCCTTTGCGTTTTGCTTTTGACCATGCATTCTTTGATAAAAAATGTTTGCTTGGATGTGTACTATAACTTCCTAAAATTTTGCCCATCTTTTATGAATCACTCTGTATATATTTACTGTCCGGAGCAAGTTGGCATCTCTGTAAGTGCTGTTATATGTATTCGTTCATGCGTCAAATTGACGCGTGTTCGTAGAGAAAGGTATATAAGGAACGTCCGTAAACCTAGTGTTAAAGAAGAAGCGAAACCTATCAAAATGTAAGTAAGAAATTGAAAAAAAAATAGGCGAAAGAAAGACATTTATTATTAACCATTATCTATACACTTACCACCAAGAACGTAAAAAACATTGTTCCTGCAATAATGGGAAACTTCTCCAGGGATGTCGAGAACATCAAAACGGATAACGGCTGTTTTGTTTTCGTAATGGTCATTGTATATCTTCCATTTGCAATCGATAACAGTATGTGTTTCAACAGTGAAGTTAGGAGTTGCCATAATTCCAGTGGGAGGAAATAAAGCACCACCGCAATCTATAAAACGAACACATGATTTGGTTTTTATAGAAGATTTAAATATATAGGGCTATTTACTTCATTAAACTATTACCCAACTGTAAAATTTAAATTGTTTATTTCAAATTTCTGACAAAGGTGGGTTGTTGACTATCTAAAACAGGGTTTTTTATCTTATATGTGGCTGGGGGCAGCAATTTAAAACACCAGTCAAATGGCAGGCCGCAACTTTATCAAAATCTTATTAGGACTCTTTTAATTTCGAAGGAACATTAAATATTACTGTCAGATATTTATCAAAGTTTTTTTAATATTAAAAAGCAAAATAACAAGCATTACAAATAATGCTTGTTACGTATCATTTTGAATCTTCTCTTAAGCAGAAACTTAGTGACAAATTTTTTTTTTTTAAGTTTAATTCTGTGATAAATTAAATTTTTTTTCGACTTATTAGGAATTATAGCAACATAAACAATTCTCAAGCATTTGAAATTTTTTTTTTCTTTTCCTCTCATGCGATATTCAATTCAAGGAATTTAAATAAAACATGATTCATTCCCCCTTTTATGCGCTTTAAAATTTACAAATGTAAATAATTTCGTCCATAATGAGTGGTTTCAAAAAATTAAACGGGAGAATTTCTTCGAGAAAATTTCTGATACTCACTTGTAAAATTATATTCACAAAATACACAAAATAAGCAAAATAAAAAAGAGCAACATACACGATTACTTTTGTATTTGAATAAATATTTTCTTGGATGCAAAACCAGAGAAATAAATTTTTTTGCACCGTTGGTATGTTAAATTTCACAGAAACGAAGAAATTAGGTTTTTTTAAATGAACGAAAAGTATTTTAAACCCACATAGATTTTTTACGAAAATTGTTCGCAAAAAAAAAACGACAACTAATATATTTTAGTTCGCGGGCCACAAACAAAAGCTTCGCGGGCTGGGTGCGGCCAGCGGGCCGACAGCCCTGAAGTAAAAGATCAGTGACAGGTGGCGAAATACACGGAATAATTAAAATTTTCACACGTTGGGCAGAGAACGGGTCAGATTAATTGATTTTACTATTAGTATCTTTTATCCCACTGAAACAGAAAATTTTTATCTGAAATTTTTTATGTTTAATTCTTTTATGAATGTTTTGTGATCGTCATGATTGTGTTTTGAGCATTTAATTTCACATAAAATTGATCAAGTATTACGTACTTTTATTTACAACCGTCGTTGAACAGTCGACCCAATTTTAGGTTTACGATTATTAATGTTCAACTCCGTAGCCTTGGAATTTTGAACCTAATCTAGAAGACAATCTTGAAGACAAGGGAACTTCTGGATCAAGTATGGAAGAAAATTTGCTTTCGTGGCTGACTTTTTATGGAACTAACCCTCATTTGCGTTACATGAAGAGGAAAGACACGAAAATATCCCACAATTAGCCTGATGGCAAGGGGGACTCTCCGATCCCTTGCCTTCGACCAGCCATCGCTGGGATTCGAACGCTTTATCCCCTGAGCCACCACGTCTCTATAAATCATATTCTTTTTATTTTAGAAGATCCAAGATATAGTTAGACTGTTATTTCCTAATTTCACTTTCTACTAAGCCTTTCTTCGAAAGTTAAATTGAAGACTTTACCACTTTCTTCTTCTGTAGAATAAGAGAGCGTGAATCCTTGGCCAGCATTCAAACCATGCGTCCAAAGAATAATATCCAAAGTTCCAGATGAGGACGAAATCGGAGCTGGCACTACATTCCCACAAATATAACTAGTCCCTCCTGTCCTCCAATTTGTTGAATTATACATCTGGAAATTGAAAAAAAAAAGGAGTTCAAATTTTATACATTTTAACATGAGACATTTTTGAATATTTAGATATTATTTTACAGATCTGGTTAAATTATTTGTGCTTAGTTGTGAACAAATTTCGATTGCTTCTAATTTAATATAATATTAATACATTAACCTTGTTGATGCTATCAAAAATATTTTTTGAAATTGCGGAAATTCGATAGTAGATTTAGTGTCTGCTTAGGTGTAATGAAAAATATCTACATATAAATAAAGGTGTCAAAAATATTGTTACAAAGAAAATGAAAATTTGTAAATTTAATTTTATTTCCCCTTTTAAAATTAATACTTGCATATACAATATCTGCATAGTATATCAGGTTGATAAAATACGTTCATAAAATCTTGCAACTGACGAATATTGGGCTGCCAACTTGATTTTCACAAACTATTTAATAAAGTGGTTGACATTTAAGAACTAAAACTTTTAAAAATTTCTAGGAATTTTACCAAAATTTTAAAAGTTTTACCGCAAAGGAGCTGGTTAAAAGTAACTTTTCATTTAAACTTTTGAATCAGTTACACGTAGTGCTAAAGATAAAAACTTGAAATCAAATTTATGATGCAAAGAAGGATACATTAAAAACATAATTTTAGCTACCACTAGAAGAAATTTTTTCAAAAAGTGCAGAAAGGTGACAGTATGCGAAACTTAACAAAGATGTTAGATCATGGAAAAGAAAAGAAATTGGTAGCTAAACCATTTCATTTCTAGATTTCTTACAAAATAAAGTAATAACTTTTGCATTTTTAATTATAAGCCATACACATTAATTGCTTTTCCCCAGATAATGAACAGCCCTGTATGTACGTTTAAACTAATAATATGAATCAGTAGTGAGGAATTTTTTTAAAACTCCTCTTAAATACCCTGCAGATGAGAACTGGTTTTATTACCAGATTTTTTTTTCTTACCAGATTACAAACAGTTAAGTTTCTAACACATTAGTTTAGCTCCGAATTTTAGATTTTTGGAAGGATTTTTGTTATAAATAAAGTTTAAGAAGCTAAACAAGTTTTTTAAAAATTAAACATATGTATTGATATTTCACTTCTATTGTAAAAAATATCAAAAAAAAAAAAATACTTAAAAGTTGGTGGCTTTGTCTTCACCACATTAGCTTCGGGTAGCTTTTAAATAGAAGGCTATTTGATCATCGCGACTACCGGTATTTTTTAAAAAGTCTCAGTTAATTTTTTTTTAATACAGCTTCGTGTTTGTGTCTCAGATTATAGTTTTGGTAATGTATATAAAACTTCTCATACTCCTCGTATAACTAATATCACTGAATGAGATCTTACCACTATGTAACTGATGCAGACGCCAGTTGCTTCATCCTTTGGTAAATTGAGCTCATCGAAAGTAATTTTAATTTTTCGACCTTCTGGAGCTATTATCCTCCAATAACACTCTCTTGAACCAGAAAGAAGATTGGGATAGTTAGGAGAAGTGATCACGCCAGATGGGTTTTCGACACGTGCACCACACCCTGTTAGAACATAAGATTGTTTTAGCTTTAGAGCTTGCTTAAAATACAAGTGAAGGGACATTGTAGAACAAATTTAAACGTAGCTTTTTATGTGCTTTAGATTAAACGATTTTGTTCAAACAAAAGGTTTTAATTTATAAGAAAACGGTCCATCACATACCGTTTTCGTTGGAGAAATCACCAAGCCTCTAGTGAATTCTCGCTTCCTAATGCTTCCAAAGTCTCGAAACTTCGAGAGAGTATATAAGCATACCTGCCAACTTTTACGCATTTGGCGTAAAATTTTATTTCTAAATTTAAAGTGGTAGTAAAATGAATGCTTTCTATATATTCCTTGCATTTATAAACTTAATTTATAATATTTTTGATCCACCACTATTTTTTAAAAAAATAAGCATATATATTAATATGTAATATTATTGTAATAATCAGCATAAGCTTGTTCAAAATACAGCAAATGTTTTTGCCTAATATTGTAATTTAAATTTTATTTTACTACCAGTGGGAAAAATCATCCTTGAAAGGATTAAAAGTTGGCAGGTATGTATAAGGCTTTTGTTGACAAAAATTTTGCAAAAACTGCTATTTGCCACCACAATTGCGGCCAAGTTGGTCAGTTAGAGTTACTATCAGTTTTCCTTCTTTCTGCAAGCTGTTATTGTGCACCTATAAGTACCTACGCACAGCTAAAATGGGACTCTATAGGAAAGAAGATGCTTGATCAACAAAAAATAATTATAGATTCCATTTTTATATTCCAATTATAGATAAATCATTTTCCGAGCATTTATGGTCAGTAAAATAATGCGTTTTAATGATTTTCTGAAAGATAAAATTTTTGGGAGGAACTTGCAGTTAGCAAAATAAGAAAGCAAACAATTTTTGGTTTAATGTTTATATTTTCCCAAACTTAGATGTAATTTTAAAGATTCGAGTACTCTAGGACATAATAAAATATTTGATTTGACTATATTTTAAGTTACGAAATCAGACACAGAACCGTACTTTGTTGAATAAACATGCCTTTTTTTCAACAGATTTGGGTTCTCGACCAGATCAAGGTTCAGATCAACTGATCATGTTTCTTTACCAAATTATATAAATATTGGGGAGGGGATGCACTTGAAAGAATTAGGGTCACAATAGTTTTAGTCTAGAGAGCTATTAAAAGCTTGAATCCTTAATGTAAACTTCAATTTCTTTACATTTCACTTTATGGTCAGAAAAGTTTTTTACCTCTTCTGACCCGAGGTACACATTCGTATGCAAACATGGTACCAACGACTTAGAATACATGATATCCACGAGATGGAATAATTAAAAATTTGTGACTAACTTATCTCAAGAGTATCGAAAATGTTATTAAAGTTTGCCTTTAATTTAATATTATGAATCCAGGTTTGAAAATTTTAAATCATTATAATGAAATCGATAATATTTTTGGTAGATATGAAGTCTGTTCGTTTTCTAAAATTTTGGTACTACTTCAAAAGAAATTTCAGAAAAAGACCAACTTTATTAAAAAATTTTCAAAAAATTAAGAGAATCAAGCAATGGTCTCACAGTTCCTTTATTCAAAAGTAGTATTTGATTGAGGATTTGCTATGTACTATCAGTCATTATCCACAAATCAGGTTCGCCTTTGTCCAAAGCAAGACTCAAACAAAACCGGCTAAACATTATTTGTCTATCACGTGATATCACATGACGAAATTCTTTCTTTCAGTTTGCGTCTATAAAACAGATCAAGTTGTCGTCACGAAGCATATTATCATTCAACTACTTTTGAAAAAAATATGTCTTCCAAAGTTGTCTACTGCTACGCTTTTTGCAATATATTTTGTTGAGTGGTAGACACATAATAACAAGGGCGTTCGGAATTCTTTGTAATTTTTCCAACATATAAAAGCATCACCATCAAAAAGCTGGGATAAAATGGCTTTTTATATAAACTTTTAATCAATTATACATAGTGGTGTGAAAAACAACATTAAATCAAATTTACAAAACCAAGAATCAAGCATTAAAACATACCGTTTGAAGAAATTTTCCGAAAAAAACACAGAAAGTAGGCAGACCTGTGTTTTTTAATTGCATTGATATATTGTTAATTAAAACAAACTTATTGTAAAATGTAAAAACTAAAGTAGTTATTAATTAACTTTGATTTATTTTTATACGCTATCTTTCTTCAATGATAGATATTTTATAACCACTTGCACTTGCAAATTCATACTTATCTATTTTGATGAGCGATAGTAATGTATATTAAAAATTAGGAAATAATTACCATTAAAATCAGACGTCATTGTCACAGAGAATCCTCGTCCGGTGTTTGCCGAATTTGACTTAAATTTCATATAAGCTTGAGGACCAGGAACTTCGATTATTGTGCTTACGTTATCTAAGTTGCCACAAAAGAGTCCAAGAAGTTCCCCTGCAAAATCATTTCATAATGATGAATGAATTTAATAAAAAATAATCGTTTATTGAATACACTTATAGAATGGTTAGAAATTGTGATAAATAATATATAAAATTTCATAATTTCAGTTCCTTTTGTCGATTATCTCACTATGCTAAAAAATCGTAAGCAGCGCTGTTTTAGGTGTTTTTCAACTGAAAGTTGTATTTTATTTTGATGCACACGAATTATGAAATTTAGAAACTTGAAATCACGACAGTAAGTATGATGGAATAAAAAAAATTAATTCCTGCTAACTAGTTCGAGAATAATTAATAGTTAATTTTATTTCAAAAAATACCACGCGGGCTGATCTACTGTCGGCTAAAATGCGGCTACAGATATGAAATTTGACATGCTGAGACAGTCATTTACATTTTGAAACTTGACAATAGTTTTCTTTCAAAATTGCAATTTTCCGAAAGTTATTGCAGTTTTAAGAGCTTTTTCACAAATATATTTTTACCTGTTTGTTTTTATTTAACTAATACTTATTTATTATTTATTGTCGAAAACTATATTTAACTCTCTCTAAATTTTGTTTTGATAGTTCCGCTCTTGACTTTTAACATAATGTTAAAAGCAATAAAATTGAAAAAAATATATTTAAATATAAAAGTGAATGCTTACATTTAAAAAATAAAAGTTTAAATACAGTTAAAAAATATTAAAAAAAGATTTTATATAAATTTTAATATTTATATTCGAACTTTAATAAGATAATAATCCACAAGATAATAATAAGATAATAATCCACAAGATAATAATAAGATAACAATCCACAAGATAATAATAAGATAACAATCCCGCTCTAATCCATGCACTATTTGCTCATCAACCATTGAATGTTTCGCATTGATCATTCCAATAAATTAATATTTCATACAAAAAAAAAAGAAAAAAAAACAAAGAACATTTTGTTATTAAAATAAAAAATTCTTGTTATTTTATGTAAGAATATTCGGCTGAAATTTGAATCATAATGAAATTAATGATAAACTGGATTTGAAATATAATCAATAGTACTTTATGAAAATAACCTGAGGAATTAAGATTGTCGAAGCCAACAAAAAAAATAAACAATTTAACGAGACTTATAACAGTTCAAATTGGAAACAATTTTCATCTTTCTTTCTTTAGTCTGTTATACTTTCATAAATTTGATTTAAATGTTAAGATTTAAGACAGGCAATATCTAATCTCTCATTCCCTTATTTTTTTAAATTATACTTATTTATTTTTTAGTTATTTTTTTTCATCAAATCAAGAGTGAGATTATAAAATAAAGATATCAAGAGATCAAAGAAGATATCGAAGAAAATAAAGACATCATTTTTCTACAACATTGGAATACATAATACACCTAAACTGAAATACATTTTCGCATTCATCCTACTAAGCCCTACGTACGAGAGATGTGAGAACATTAAGTAGTCATTCCAGTGGCTTTTGAAGTATCCTAGTGTGGAAGATATTGTCAAATTGCATAAAAAATGTAGCTTGTGGAGAAAAACCAATTGCAGATTCGAAATTTGCAATGCAAAAATATCTAAGATCATGCAAAGAAAGAAACATCTTGCAAAAAAAAGTTTCTTCCCAATGAAATCAAAATCTATTGGTTAACGTAAAAAAAAAAATTCAATTCAAAAGCACCATCAATTCAAGTCAAAATATTGCTCTACTTCTTTGCATCTACTAGCATAAATATGAGCAGAGCTAAATCATTCTAATTATATTATGAGTTATATTAATACGATGACTCATAATATAATATTGTGACGGAAAACAATTAAACTTTCATTTGCTTATTTAGAGTTTTTTTTAACGTTTGATTAGTTAAGTTATAATTTTTATCGCCAATTTCTGTAGTTTCTAATTGCTTGAAGATTTATTTAAGGTCAGCTCAATTCAGGATGAGTTTTTGACTGTATTGTAGAAATATTTTGTGTTTTATAAGTGTAAAAATGCTCCAAGAGCAGTTAGCAACAAAAAGTCAGTAAGTTACTTTAGAATTTAGTAAGTTTCTTTTGGTAGTGAATTAAAATACCAAGAATGAGAACGTTATGCTGCGAAAAGTTTAAATGCTAAATCATGAAGTTTTTTTTGTCAATTTCAAGCTTACGGAAGAATATAAAGAAAAAAACAACCTTTATTTTCTACTGTCGGTGTGTACATTAAAAGCTACACGAATCCAGTGAAATTGCTGTCGGATCTTCTCTTAGTTAAGTGAAGAATTTGAATATGAAAAATACTTGCCTTCAGAGTCGTAATTTCTGATTTCCAAGTAATCTGTTAGCGTGCAGTTTTCCCTGTTGGATCGAGGAGTGTTCATGTCGTCCAGCTTCAATACGATGTGATAGCCATTTTTCATTTTAAGGAACCATTCGCATTCTTCGCTATCCCTGTAAGACATGGGATAACCTGGACTTGTGATGACAGATTTCATTGAGGAAATAGTACCTCCACAATTAGCTGGAATTAAATAATAAATATAAACTTTACATTCTATATTAATAAGAAGTGGAAGTTGATGTGATGAGAGTGCAACACCTCCTATAACTGAAAGTCTCCGCACGGTTTTTTATTGGTAGTCCGATCAGAAAACTGCGAAGGATATCCACTTTCCGAACGAGTCAGTTAATACAGAATATAGTTAAAATAAGAAAGTGGTAGCAGATATATGACTAAAAATTTGTTTTATTTATGGATATTATTGGTTTGCCTTATTCACTTGTCAACCACTACAGATTCAATTCTCAAATATATATGATAAATTTCTCTCAATTACTTTTATAAAAGATTTTGGGTTCATGCGCACAACTGGTTCACTTTTTAAACAGTCTGCGCGGAATACTTACAGAAGTCCGTGTGGAGGCTTCTTGATGTAGGAGGTGATGATCTCGCTCAACCGAAAAAGTATTCTTTCCATCCGAACAGATAAATTACTGACTTCTTGTTTTTCCTGAATAGTTGTCTAGGTTTTCGAATATTTGAAATTGGATGTCACAGGATGTCTCCAAAACGAAGAGCTTGTTAAGCTCCTTCGTTCCCTGCTTCCCGAGTCACAGAAATGATATTGGACTCACTTTCATTCAGGATATTCCCAGTTCACCGCTGTGAATCACTTTTTTATTTTACTTCTCTTTAGGTACATATAACTTCACAACATATGACTAACCCAGTATAGATGAATCAGTTAATGGCGCTTCGCGCCAATACGCTGAGCTACCACCTATTTCTTGCATCTTGCATCTCATGATTGTAAAAATAAGTTTTCTCAAATACAACGTATTTGTTTGCTTAAAATTGAAGTTTTTATTACATTTTAATACCACTGGGAAAAATGATAATGGAAGGGATTAAAAGTTGGCAGGTAAGCATCCCAGTTAACCATCCCAATACTGTAGGCTTCTACATGCAATTTAGTTTGGAAGAGGTGAACTCTACGAAAGATTTATTTACCGAATTTCTTAACACTTTACCGACCGGCCGTCGATTAATCGACGTTTTGTTCTCAACGCATACCGACCGGCCGTCGATTATTCGACGTTTGCTCCCCAGCGCTTACCGACCGGTCGTCGATTAATCGACGTTTGCTCCCCAGCGCTTACCGACCGGTCGTCGATTAATCGACTTTTGACCGATCTGTGGTGACTACGTTTTCCACCAATTCAGCATGCCCTGAAAAAAATTCAGCTGTCGTTTTCTCGAGTGCAGCTGGGTGCGACCAGATTTTCCTGCGAAAAGAGTCGGGATTTTTCATCGTGCAGCTGGGTGCGACTAGATTTTCCTGCGAGGAAAGTCGGGATTTTTTCATCGATATGAAGGCAGGGATGCCAACTGCTCCGCTTTCTGGAAAAGTTCTAATAAAGTGGTAGCAAAATATTTTGTAAGATTAGTTAAAGAAAGATAGTTACGCCTACTTTTTAATACAGTAACCAGTATATTGATGATTTAACGTTGCATTTTATATCATATTTGTAATTTTTAATATTTAGTGGTGAAGTCCGCGCGTCAGTCTAGGCCGAAACCGAGCCGGTGTCTCGGACGATCTGCAGCTGAACGGGCGGTGAAAGGGCATAGTATGTTCGAACCGCTACCGGTCGGTAAAGTGTTAAGACATGTGCAAATGGTAAAATCTACAACGAATTTAAAAGTAAACTATGTGCCATTAGAGTTGCCAGTAGATACTATCATGAACTCTGAAAGGAATATCCATTGCCTGAACAGAAGGAAAAAGAGGAACCCGAGACTACTCAAGATATCATCACTCGAGTCCCAGAGCCCAATCCCACCTCAGTGGCTGATAAAATGGAACTTAGTGCAGGTGCCCCCTGCAGGACACTGCCTCCGATACTGAAAACACCACAGAACCTCCAGCTAAAAAGAGGAAGAAGAAAGCCAAAGTCAAGCCTATCGAGTCTACTCCCACGATCCAAGACAACTGCTCTCCTTCAGATTCCTCTTCCCAGCCGGAGTCTAAGACTACTACTCCATCGGACCCAGTACCGGCAGAGCTTGAGGAGAATGCCGCTTCGGCAGTAATCATAGCTACTCCCACCGCAACTATGGACACTTTTCCTAAAAAACTGAAAACTCTTATTAGAGGACTAGAAATAGATACACATTCTCAGGAATTAGAAAAATACCTCAAAAACTTTGGACTTTTACCAGAGAAGATAGTACAACTAAAAAGGAGGAGTGGTCATCCAATCGGACAACAGTGCATATAGAAATATTTTTAACATCAGCTCAGTCCTAGAGAAGCCAGTTAGAATTGAGCGCTTCAGAGGAGGAAAATACCAGATCCAGTGCTACCGTTGTCAACAATTTGGACACACGCAACGAAACTGCCCTGCAACCAATCCCGCCTGCATGAAATGTGCCGGAGTACATTTCCATACCTGCCAACTTTTTCGGAAGATTGTATTTTGATATTTAAAGTGGTAGTAATTATATACTATTTTTTTCTTTCATAAACTTAATTTTCAGATGATTTTGATCACCACTATTCTTACAAAAATTAAGCACATATATAAATTTGCGTTACTACCATGGTTGTCAACTTAAGTTTTTTCAATTACAACGTATTTGTTTGCTTAAAATTGAAGTTTTAATTACATTTTAATACCACTGGGACAAATGATAATGGAAGGGCTTAAAAGGTGGCAGGTATGCATTTCTCGTACCAGTGTACAAAGCCCAGGACAACCCCAGACACCTGCGTCAACTGCAACGGTGAGCACTCAGCCTGTTTTACGGGCTGTGGTGCAAGACCCAGGAAAGCGCCGAAAGCGAGGAGATCTCATCCCGAGAAAGCTACCGACAACGCCACCAGATTTTTGCAGCTCTTCAAGGAGATGAAAGAACTTTTGAAGGACGAAGAGCTTATTAAGCTTTTACGTTCCTTACTTCCAGAGTCTCAAAACTGATGGAGGACTCACTTTCTCCCAGGATTTTCTCTATCCTGACGTCACAGTTTACCACTGTGATTCACTTTTGTATCCCATTTCTTATAGGCAACATGACTCACAGTTATACGACCTACTAGAATCGACGAATCAGTTGGTGGCCCTTCTGGCCAAATACTAAGTTACTACTAATATCAAGCATCTACTATCCATAATGAAATGCCGTATGATAGATAAAGCTTTATATAATTCCAAACAAAATCATTCTTGTAAATGGCATCCCGTGCTGAGGCTTTCTCTTGTCTACAATTTACTAATGTGCGCTCCTTTTGTAACTTCTTAATTGCAAGACATCTTAATAAATTCGCATTAGGCTGTACATGTACGTTTACTAGTTACATTTGAAAAATGAATTTTTCATTCCTTGATTCAATTGAACGAAAAGTTCATTTTTTCGAAGGTCACCTTTGAGTTAATTTATTGAAAAAATGATTGATTTCATACCAATCATTGGTTCAAATTTACAGCCACGAGCAAATTTAGTAGATAGATGCCTTCTGTGGGGAATGAGTCATTACTTCCCACATCAGAAAGCCTCCACACGGTTTTTTTATAAGTAGTCTGCGCAGACTATTTAAAAAGTGAACCTGTTGTGCGCATGAATCCAAATTTTTTTGTAAATGTTTTGATTGATTGATATGAGTGGAATCTTGGTGTTAAGCGCGAAGCGCTTCTAACCGATTCATCTATACTGTTTTGGCATTTAGTCCAGAGGTCATATACAGTTCAAAGTTCTAAGTTAGGATCAGATAATAAGTCTATGATGAGGTGAGGCATGAGTTGATTCAGTAGTACATCAGTTGTATGGGGAATTCCCCTGGATTAAAGTTGTGAGAAGATGCAGTACGTCTTGGTCCTTCAGCAAGTCTTTAAGTTCACTGACGAGGCTAACAAGTCTGTGGGCTGTAGAAGTAGGTGTGTCCTTGGTCGTTTTTCTCTTTCGACTGTGACGGGCCTCGCACCCAGTGAAATTTGAGGTGTGGTTTTGCATGCAGTTGCAGCATTTAGCTGGGGAGTCTCGGCTCTTTCTGCACTGGAATGAATAGTGCCCTTCGGCACATTTCATGCACCTTGGGCTGGAGGAGCAGGAACGTTGGGTGTGGCCGAAACTCTGACATCGAAAACACTGCAGCGGCCGCCGGCCGCTGTGGTATTTCTCTATGCTGATCGGGACCTGCTTGATGCTCTCAATATGGTAGATCATCTCGTGATTGGCTAGCATTGGCATAACGATGAGGTACAGGGGGAGTGGCCTAAAGGCTTCACACACTTTCTTCTTAAACTGGACTATTTTCAGGATTTCAATGTTCCGCTTCTCTAATTCAAGGGATATTTAATCTGTACTAAAATCATCAGGAAGGCCACGGATGAGGACTTTAGCATTTTTAACTGGGTGAGCTTTTTCTACTGAAGTGGAAGGCTCTGTGGCATTGTTGGTAGTCTCCTCCGTAGGTTCTGATGCAGTAATAGGGGTGGACTCCGGCATGAAAAGAGATTCCGGAGGAGTGCAGCTTTTCTGGGTCATGGATGGGTCAACATTTTCTGTAGCTACGGCAGACTTTTTTTTTCCTCTTCTTTCTCTTTTTAGCTGGTGGCTCTTTGTTGTTTCTATTTTGGATCTCAGGTTCAGTGGCTGATGTCTCTTCGTCTTTATCCATATTCAAATCTTTACTGGAAGGAGTTGTGATATTATTCGGAACACTGTGCTCGGAAACGGGCTCAGTCTCTATTTCATTAGTAACACTACTTTCTGGGATGGTCACAGGGATTTCCGCTGTCTCAGTGATAGTTGTCTCCATTGTAGTTGAAGCAGTTGGCTTCTTTTGACTCGACTCAACAGTTTGAATTGCGGACACCGCTGCGTTAAAGAGTTCGTTGTAATATCTACTTGGTGTTGAGGTAGAAATCTCTCCAATGGAATCTCGCAGCTTACGAAGTTCCACGATATCAGTAGTTTGTTCTAGAAGAAACTTTGAGTAAAGTGCGTAGTTCATAGATCTG